TGCAGTGAGCCGAGATTGTGCCACTGCACTCCAGCCTGGGCGACAGAGCAAGACTCCGTCTCAAAAAAAAAAAAAAAAAAAAAAAATTAAGATGTTTCTTACTGGGATCCTGACAAGTTCCAATTACAGCTCCCCAAAAGGTAACACTCCCCCCCGCCAATAAATAATTCTAAAACAATCCCTTGTGGACTTGGCTCCACAGAGGTCATTATGTTCATTCTTTTACTCCTGGGAATGTCACACTGTCACACACAAGTTGGGGTGAGGAGGGAATCAGAATCTCCCACCTCAAACTCTTAACTGCAGCTCCGTCTGCTCTGTCTGCCAGAAGAAATCCTTCATGAGTCCGGCTGGACAATCTGATCTTCTCCTTCTGTTTCTCCCAAGGTCCTCGAGGACGTCCAATGCCTGTACCACCCAAGGGAAAAAGAGTCCTCATCTTTAGAACTTTTATATGTAGACTGCTCTTCTCCTCCACAGGATGCCCCTAGGAATTGAGCAAGACATCAGCTTTATCTATGAGCTTCCTCTTTAGCCCAATACACTCCCAGCTAGGAGGCTGAGGGAGAGCCCCATTTCTTTGGAGTTTCAAGAGAGATCTCAGGCTAAATAGAAGATGGAGAGGAACAAGGGAAGTAGTTGCTTTACCTCCCTGCCCAGCACGTTCTCCAAAAGTGGTGCCTTTCCAACCACGTTGAAGGTAATATATATTGACAAGATATTTGTAAAGACATCTATGATTAAAAAATAAAAACCAGGCTGGGTATGATGGATCATGCCTATAATCCTAGCACTTTGGGAGACCAAGGCAAGAAAATCGTTTGAGCCCAGGAGTTTGAGACAATCCTGGGCAACATAGCAGGACCCCATCTCTACAAAAAATTTAAAAAATTAAAAATGTAAAAAGCCAGTTGTGGTGGCGAGCACCTGTAGGCCTAGCTACTCAGGAGGCTGAGGAGGGAGAATCGCTTGAGCCCAAGAGGTCGAGGCTGCAGTAATGAGCCATGATGGTTCCACTGCACTCCAGCCTGGGTGACATAATGACAACTTGTCCCTGCGCCTCCTCCACACACACAAAAAATCTGCTTAGTTCTATAACATTAAAATAATAAATAAATAAATAAGAAAAAGAAAAATGGGCACCAGGCATTTTGGTGTAGGCAGTTAATTTGAGGGGTACATATCCATGTACCCATCATTCAGAAGCCCTGCAGTTTAGAGGAAACAATGTGAAAAGGGGACAGCGACACAAGACAAAAGAAGTCAAAGAATGGCATGTTTTGGTTATCCTGACCCACCAGCCCATGGGGAGGACCCCAGGCTCCCCCTCTTTCATCCCCACCACCTGACCTCTCTGTCTGGTTCATTCCTCTAGTGTCTCCAGTCTGGGAGACACTAAGGGGACATAGGACATTACTTGACCCTATTTATCTCGTCCATCTGACCTTGCGGAGCCAAGGTTACCCCACTGGGTTCCACCCTTTAAGGCTCTGGAACTCAGCTCTTCCAGACCATGAGGAAGCCAGGCCTTGAGGATACTTCCATCCTCCTCTCGCAGACACATGGCATAGGTCACCCACAGGATGTCCCCAGCTAACCCAACCCAGAGAACCAAATCCAGCCCTATGCCGCTCATTCTTTGAAACCTGCCCTGGGGAAAGCCTGCTTCTCTGATGGCTCCTGAGCCACCTTGATATCAGATCCAGGTGAATCCAATAGCTTCCTCTCCCTACTCATCACAGTGCTCTGATCTTCCAGCCTCCTGAGCAAGCCACAGCCTGCCTTTATATGAACATTTGCATATCAAAGCCTCACATTTACATTTTATAACTTAGGCTTCTGGGAAACAGGTCAGAGTTCAGCCCCCAGTCTACTAGCATAGCCGGGAAAGAAGCATTTACCTGTGCAACCCCCACCAAAGATGTGTTGGAGGGGGTCAGGGAGTACGCTGCATGTGTCCGTGAAGCTGTGTGTCCAGGAGGGGACTGTGAGCGTCCTGCATCCAAGAGTGTTCCTGTGTATCTCTGGCTCAGGGGTGGGCTCCATCTGGCCTGTTATGTGGTCCTTCAAGGTGTTTGCATGCCTGTGAGTCTGTTTGGGGTGTCCTCAGTCTGTTGTGGGAGCCCTTGGGGTAGATGTGTGTTTGTGAGGGCTCTGTTTCCTCATTTGTAAAATGGGAATGAAAATCCTAATACTTACCTCACAGGATCGTTATGAGGTTGCCTTAGTTAATGCAGGTCATGCACTTACAGCAGGGCATGGCTCGGTACATGTCAGTTATTATGACTCAATTCCCAATAGAAATTCCAGCCCCTCTATTTCCTCCTCCCCAACTACTTCCAGTGGTGTAAGAGGCGAGTATTCCCCTTGGAAATATCACTGTTCTGAGCCTGGACATCAAATCAGAGGTCAGTGACAGCAGCAGTATCTTCTCTTACCCTGAGGGAGGAAGGCCCCTCAGCCTCTGCCAGGGCTGGGGAGGATTGGGAATGTGGAGGGGACACTTACTCACCAGGGAGCCAGGGGTCCTCCAGAAGAATGTAAGAACTCAGAACCAGCAGCCTGGACAACATAGTGAGACCCTGTCTCTACAAAAACAAACAAACAAACAAACAAACACATTAGCCAGGCATGATAGTGCATGCCTGTAGTCCCAGCTGCTTGGGAGGCTGAGATGGGAGGATCGCTTGAAGCCAGGAGTTTGAGGTTACAGTGAGCTATGATGGTACCACTGTACTCCAACCTGGGTGACAAACGGAGACCCTCCTGTTTCTCTCTTCAAAAAAAAAAAAAAAAAAAAAAGGCTGGGCTTGGTGGCTCGTGCCTTTAATCCCAGCACTTTAGGAGGCCAAGGCGGTGGATCACCTGAGGTCAGGAGTTCGAAACCAGCCTGACCAACATGGTGAAACCCCGTCTCTACTAAAAATACAAAAAATTAGCCAGGCATGGTGGCGGGCACCTGTAATCCCAGCTACGCGGGAGGCTGAGGCAGGAGAATTGCTTGAACCTGGGAGGTGGAGGTTTCAGTGAGCTGAGATTGTGCCTTTGCACTCCAGCCTGGGCAACAAGAGTGAAACTCTGTCTCAAAAACAAAAACAAAATAACTCAGAACCAGAGGGGCACTGGCACCCCTAGAGAGGCCCCATCCTACTGAAGTGCCCAGTACCAACTTAAAGACCCACTGGACTCTTCTTCGTTGTCATGGAGATCACACCAGAACTGCCTTCCAGGAAGAACCCTGTCCTCCTCTCCACCTCTCTTGGCCAGAACTCACACTTGTCTCTAAACTGGTTCCATCCAACCCAAAGTTGGGATTTGCTTGGGCTTGTTTCTCCTTCCTTGGGCAGGGTTCCTGCTAAGATCAATTAGTTTGGTCTTTATTGTACCTATTCACTACACAAGCATTTCATGCCACCCTCATAAGCATGCAGACAGGCTGAGGAGGACTTACAGAGGCAAATGAGCTCTGGAGAGCTCTCCATAGATAAGGATGTCTACACCATGAGGCAGAACGAAAAACATCCACACCAGAGATAGAGTTAAGAATGTTGTATGGGGATAAAAGGAACTGATTGAGGTTATCATGGAAGGCTTCCTGGAGGGGAGGGACAATAGACACGAGTCTTATAGAATATTATAGCACCTATAGAAAGGGAAGTTTATTTTCATTTGCCCAAGCTGATCTCATGGAATGAGCCCTTAAGAACGTTAAACAGCAATTTTATGTTTTAGCCCCAGTTCTAGCCAGACAGGCCCAAAGAGCTTCCATGTGTCATTTCCTTCTCTGAAACTCCACTGCCTCATCTGTAAAGTGGCGGGTGTTAGGTTAGATGAATTTGGGAAGCCACTCCTGCTGGCCTGGCATTTGAACATTCTTTTGTGTTTATCACAAACAGGCAGGATGCAAAATCAGGCTGTCCTCAAAGGAGTGCATAGGCTGGAGACACAGAGAATTGTCTCAGAAAAAAGGCCTTTGAGGATTCATGTCCTGTGTGCCCCCATGGCCACAGCCCAAGCACCCCAGTTCCCCTCAGATGTCTGTCTTGGTCATAGCTGCTTGCCTGGAACCCAGCACTGTATCTGACACAATAAATGCTTATTGAAAGAAGTGATGAATGGATGAGATGACAGAGACTATGACCAGCTTCTTAGCTAAAACTGAAACCCATCCTGCCTCCAGATCATCCTCAGATAAGAGGGAAGATGGCAGAGAGGGAGCTACACTTTCAGAAATCATCTACCCTGGGGCTTCTGGTTTCTGCTGCAATCAATAGAAAGTGGGTCACAAAACAGCTCTGCAGAGAACAGACCCTTGAGGAAAAGCCTGGTTTCTGTGCCAGTTTACATTTATTGATCACCTACTGTGTATCAGTTGTTACATAGCTTAACTCATTTAATCATGGCTTCAGAGGGGTGTACAGGAGAGTGTGAGGGATTTGAGGTTCTAAACCCCAGAGGTGCTGACTAGCTGAGTGACCTCAGGCGAGTTACCATCCCTCTCTGAGCTTTCAATTTTAATATCTGTAAGATAAAAACGATCCATTCCGCCGGGTTATGGGAACGAAATGAGCACGTGGAAACGGAGCGCTTCATAAATGCCAGTTATTATTGTTCCTCTGGGCACACAAGCCCGGTCGCCTCCCTCCTGGGCACACACAGACATGTTCATACTCCCACGTACACGCAGATGCAGAGACATGTGCAGACGCCAGCCGGAGGAGCTCGCGGCGCATCAGACCCAAGACCGTGGCGGAGACGGGGGAGAAGCCGCGGGGTCCTCGGCTTCTCTTTTTCTCTCGGTTCTTTATGAATGAACTCCGGCCGCGAGTTTTATTTTTTTATGAATGGGAGCCGGAGCAGTGAATGAAGCCGGGAGCCAACCCCTACATTCTGATTGGCCCCCGAGGCTGGGAAACTCCGCCCCCCGGCCAGGCCGGACGACTCTCCGGATTGGCGGGCGTGCCCAGCCCTGGGGTTCCATTCACAAAAGTCAATGAAACAAAGGGAACCGGGGGGCGGTGGGGTGGGGGGGAAGAGACGAGGCCGAGCGAAGGAAATGCACCAATCAGCTGCTCCCCCGGGCTCACAACTGTCTGCGGCGCCCGAAAAACAAGTCGGTGCGCTGGGGACCCGGGGCCGGGGCCACCTTGCTCCGGCCTAGCCCCGCAGCCCTCGGTGCGGGCCCCAGGGCATGCTCGGGACCCCCCGCGGCTCCAGCCCAGAAGCCCCGGCCTCAGGTGAGGCTGCGGGAGGGAAAGGGAGGGAGAGTGTCTGTGATTCCCCGCCTCGCCTCCAACGCACACCACACTCACTCTCACCATCCGCCTCCGCAGATTCCAGGGCGGGGGTGGGAGGCTCTGGGATTCGGGGTTGGAGGGGGCGCGGGAGTTGTGGGCATGCGATGGTGTGCGCCTCGCCTGCTTCGCGCGCGCGCGCGCACACACACACAAACACACACACACACGTCTTATGTAACCGAGCCCGGGTAGCGCAGGGCTGCAGAAAGCAGAAACCGCGAGCCCGGCTCCTGGGAGCAGGTGGGACCTCCTTTAGCCTTTGGCGGGAGGGGAGTGGTGGTGGCGCTCGGCCTGGCAGGCGGAAACCTCCCCATCGCCCCAGTGAGTCGGAGAAGTTTCGCCGTCGGACCCAGAGCCTTGGGACTGCCCCCTCCCGCCACCCCTCCCCGCCCCCATCGCAGCCCTCCCTGGACGGTGTGCGAACGCAGACCCCTCCCCCCCAGGTCTCGGCCCCCGCTTGGGGCCCAGGCCGTGCGGCCGGAGGGAGCGGCCGGATGGAGCGGAGGATGAAAGCCGGATACTTGGACCAGCAAGTGCCCTACACCTTCAGCAGCGTGAGCGCCGCGCCAGCCTCCAATCCCGCCCCGCCCCGCACCCAGCCCCTACTCTCACCACAGTCCCCCTCCCTGCGGTCCCAGCGGAGTCCTGGGCTGCCCCGCCCCTGAGTCACCCGCGGACCCCAACCTCGTCCCCCAGACTAAGCGCCTCAGGGTGACTCGGGGGTATTCTCCCCGCTTCTCGCAGAAATCGCCCGGAAATGGGAGCTTGCGCGAAGCGCTGATGGTCCCGCAGGGGAAGCTCATGGACCCGGGCTCCCTGCCGCCCCTCGACTCTGAAGGTAAAGAGCAAGAGAGACAAACCGCGACCCTCCCCCGCCACACACACACACGCGCGCACACACACACGGCCGATCCTGGACCCCCTGCCTGTTTCCCCAAAAAGCTCGCCCTCCAAGGGATTCTTCTTGGTCCCTACTCCCAAGGCAGGGGAGTCACCGGGGCTTGCTAGGCTCCTTCTCTCTTACCGTCCCCTCCACCTCACCTCCAATCCCACTATTTACCCCTCAGATCTCTTCCAGGATCTAAGTCACTTCCAGGAGACGTGGCTCGCTGAAGGTGAGTAGTTTTGTGACCTTTTCTATTTTGGGAGGCTTGACAGGGGAACACTCCGTAGCCCCTGGTATTCCACCCTAGCCGTGTAGGGCTCCTCTCCCTTCCCTGCCTTAAGGAGTTCTCCAAGGCCCTTTCCCCAGGTCCCTTGCCACTCTACTCACCCCAGCACCCAGCGTGGATACTTATATTGATATTTATTTTCTCTACCCTGAGCCAGGCTTGTGTAACTAGGCTTGAGGATGAATCAGACCATTGTGTGGGGTATTTGCTTATTTGAATGGAACTTGGCCTCAGGCCCATTTTCCTGGTTGAAATTTTCATTTGCAAAGTTTGTTTTACAGAAGCTGCCGGGCCAAGGTGCGTGTTGGGGTGTTGTTGGTGGGGGCGGGGGGCAGCAATTAATTTGTCACCTATCCTCCGGAGTTGCCCAAGCATTGATTCTTATCCCCTGGGTTTCTTTTCTTCCCAACCCCCAGCACCAAACAATTTACTGTCCAAGCCAAAAAAACAACAAAAGTTTAAATAATTCTTTTCGGCAGTCCTTTGGCACGGAGAGCCCAGGGCTCCCTCCCCAAATAGCCTTGATTGTAATTCTAATAGCAAGTGTTCCTCCCTCTTCCATCCCGCTTGAATACCTCCGCCCCCAGGCAAATTCCCCCCTTCCTGTGTGCTGGCCGGGGTGGGGACCGTGGCTGGGCCTGATGGGGAGTTGGTGTGTTCGGGAGGTTTCCTGGTTGGATTCTTCGGTGCGTTTTGGTGGGGCCTGAGGGTGTCACTGGTGGGGCTGCAGGTGGGAGGGAAAATGGTGGTTTAGACAGTCTCAGAGAGGGAAGGGTTAACTACCCCCATCTTAGGGTTTATTTTAACGCTATGAAAATGAAGAAGCCAAAACACTAGGAACTTCTTTTTTGAGGTCTTTTTAAGGTCTTTTCCTTAGGATCTCCTCATCCCTCCACCCTGAGTATATGATTTTTTTAAAGCTCAAATCCAACTGCCCTGGAACTCTCCATAGAAGCTTGGAGTAAAAAGAAAATGACCCCTGACTAGATCCTTGGAGTGAGACTAGGTCTGTCTTCCCCACTATGATATTTTAAAAATATATATGTTGACAGAATGACTATTTAGCATAGAGCAAGCAGTCAAGACATTTTGTGGAATTAATGGCTGAATGGCTGTGTGAGTGCTAGAGGGATCTGGGGGTTCTGTGGGTATTGTGTGCCTCTTCCCTGACCCTGCAAGTCCTGCATGCCCAGCTCCAATTTACAGGCAGAGCTTTGCCCCGTCTCCCCATCCTCCTCCTGAGGTTCCAGAGCTGGGCTGAAGAACGCAGAGGTGTCAGTTTCCATGGGCTCTTAAAGACTTCCTTTCCCAGCGCCTGATTTCCCTCTGGCTCACCGGGCTTCATTCCTTGCCTGTCAGTTGAGAGTCCCCACAGTGGGCAGCTCCTGGGGCTGTGAGCTAGGGGTGGGCTGAGGTTGGCATTTTGGCAGCAGCTGGTCCATCTGTGCCTGGGTTTGAGATGGGAGGGGGAGGAAAATGCTCTCATCTCTCTACTTTGGAAGTCCCACCCCTTGGCCAGGGGTCTGGAGAGGGTAGGCATGCCTGTGGCAGTGTCAGTGTGACAGCAAGTGTGTGAGTGTGTGTGCGAGAGAGACAGAGTGTGTGTGCATGTGTGTGTGTCAGTTACATGCTGCTGCCCTGTACATTTAAATTCAGTGGGTGGGGAGGTGGGGGTGGGGATTGCAAGGCGGAGGTAGGGGGGGCGCGCTGGGATCTCCTTGGTTCCCTCTCCTTCCTTCTGAGGGAGCAGCTCAGGTTCCCAGCTGGCCATGGATGGCCAGGCCTGAGGGGGGGATGCTGAGGCCGATTGCTCCTTCTCACTTTCTCTGCGGAGACAGATGCAGCTGCCGGGGCCCTGTCCCCCTGCACCATCCCAGCACCACCCCAGTCTCCTCTCCTGTCTCTTCCCACCAGGTCAGTGACCCCGGCAACCCATGGGGAGCTTTGGGGTGGCAGGGAGGGACTAGCTTCTTTGGAAACTTGCCAGTGGTGGGATGCATTAGGAGGAATGGGGACCAGAGCCCAACCTCCCTCTCTCAGTTTGGTTTTTTCCAAACCCCCAGTGTGGAGAGAAGCAGCTAGTGTGGGTGGGGCTGTGAAGACTTAGCATTTGGAGGAGGCACAGGTTGGAGCCAGGCAGGTATAGGGAGATTCCGATGTGGTTGCAGGTTCAGTGTCCTGTGTCCGTGCGTTGAAGGGTGCGTGTGAGTGCGGCTTTATGGAGGCATTTCACATACCCTTGGGCTTGGGTTTCTGTAAATAGCAGGGAATGATGTGAGGCTCGGAGGGCGTGTCTGATTTGGGGGTGCCTGGAATCTGTTGAGATGTTGGGGAAAGAATCAGGCTGCTACAGGGAGACCCAGGCTCAGGCAGGCTGAACCCAAAATGTGTCTGGCTATGGCAAAAGACTTGCTGGTTTCTTGTTGAAGGTTCCTTTCCAGGCTTTTCAGGAGCCCTGAACCTTTGGGGATAAAGACTTTGTTGTCTATTTGGTAGTAAGGGCCATTGACTCTAGGCCATGACTCCTTTGTGTGAGGCTGGGGTCTGTGGATTCCCAGAAGCTCTGTGGATAAGTTGCTGGGATCATGATCCCTCTGATACTGTGTGTAAAATTGCTGGAAGTGCACCATACATAAAGGTGTATGGATTTGTTTAGGAAGAAAATGACCCATAGCTTTTATCAGATTCTGGAAGGGATCGATCTGGGCTGCCCTTTTCACAGGAATCACTGCTCCCCAACCCTCCTCCAAGGGCTCTAGTCCCTTTGCCCTTTGACTTTCCCAATCATATTTGTAGGTCCAAAAAAAGACCCCATGTGTGGAAGGCGTGCATGGAGGGCACATTTCACCCTGTGCTGTTGTGCTGCCGCAAGAATGAAGTAAAAGGAATTAGGGTGTGTGCGTCCCTGAATATGTGTTCAAGTGCATGTACACTGGTGCTTCGGCATGTCTGTGGGGAGGGATGAGGTTAATCCCCTCCCTAATCTTTCCCAGCTACAATGCCTCCTTCTCCATCTTTCTGTCTCTTCCCTTTCCAGAAGACTCCTGGGGACAAATGTGTCCCCTCCACAACTAGAGAACTGGTTTCTTCCAGTACAGAGGCTGCCAGGGTGGGGGCAGGGTAAGGGACAGCGGTGACACAATGGAGCAGAAGCTCTGAAGAATGCCTCTATCCCCTTCACCCTATGACTGGATCCTGGGAAGAGGGTGACGGAGCATATATAGTGTGGGTGGCTAACCTATGGTGGGTTTCAGTGTGTCTCTGTTTTAACCTCTCAATTCTTCCAGAATCCAGCTTGGGAGGCCCCCAACCCCCTCCTCTTTTTTTACTGACCCCCATTTTGAAAGGAGAGTCCCTAAAATTCTTTCTCTCTCTCTGAGCATTATGCTGTCTTGGCACTTTTCCCACCCCCTCCTTAATCATCTGCCTCATCCCCAGACAGATAAACTCCATCTTAGTACCAGGATGGAGCTGGGGACAGACCCTGGCACACTGGCTTGGCAGCCAAGACTCAGCCAAGTTAACAAATAAATAGAGAGAGTGGTGTACACTCAAGACCAAACATGGTAATTAAAAATTCTCCTGCTCTCCAGGAACGCGAGGCTCAGTGTTCCTATTTCTATCCTGTTGACAGTCTCTGGATGACTGAGGGCCCTGGCCTACCCCTTTGGGAGAAGGCCAGTGTTTGGGGGAGGGGCTGAGCTAGGACCGATTTCTCCTGGCTCTGGGAAGAGGATGGCACCACCTCTTTTGGGGTGTGGTCTGTGGGCTGGAGGAAGCCGCCTCCTGGACTGCTGGGCCGGAGGGGTCCCTGGTTAAACTGTCAGGCCCGAGGCAAGAAGAAAGGCAGGATGATGCTGAGGGCTCTCTGCTCTCCAGCACCATTGATGGCAGCAGGAGATACCCCCAGCCCATTACCTCAATGGAAAGTAGCAGTTAATGAGGCCCCAGCGGTGGGGCTGGAGTGCGTCAACCACCCCTGAGTTCTGCACCACCCTTTCCCTTGGGACTTTTCTTGTCTAGTAGGAGGGAGGGAAATGTTGGTGACTCTGCTCCCATCACCCCTGCTTCCTGCCACCCTGGGGAAATGTTGCCTCAGAATGGACCAAAGGGCACAGCAGGGACAAGCCTGGTTTTGCATCCCTGGGCAGGTGGATGGATTTGGCCTCCTACCCTCTATCCAAATGTGCCTTTTTTTTTTTTTTTTTTTGAGACGGAGTCTCACTCTGTTGCCGAGGCTGGAGTGCAGTGGCGCAATCTCAGCTCACTGCAAGCTCCGCCTCCCAGGTTCATGCCATTCTCCTGCCTCAGCCTCCTGTGTAGCTGGGACTACAGGCGCCCGCCACCGTACCCGGCTAATTTTTTGTATTTTTAGTAGAAACGGGGTTTCGCCATGTTGGCCAGGCTGATGTAGAACCCCAGACCTCAGATCATCTGCCTGCCTCAGCCTCCCAAAGTGTTGGGATTACAGGTGTGAGCCACCACACCTGGCTGTAATCGTGTTTTTAACAATGCCCTGATGACTCCTGAATCAGGCCAGTTTGGGAATGGTTGTCTTTTTGCTGTGTTTGTGTTCCTGAAAAGATGTGTGCTGGCTGTGTCTTTCTGTTTGTTCTTGCCATCGGATTTCATGTCTCATTGATATCTTTGGTCACTTCAGACCAAAGTATTATTATGTTGACTCCTCTTAAGTTCTCGTTTAGCTGCTGGTGGCTCCTGATTCTTAAACTCCCTCTCCATAATGCTTCTGTCAGGAAACCAACTATCTATTAATATAAGCCTATGTTTATAAACACTTGGCAGCTCTGATATTTAAAGCAAATTGTTGAAGAGTATTCTTGCCAAGCAACATATCACAACCTAAAGTATCCCCTGTGAGATGTGCTTTCCTGAAGAGGACCTGCCTCTAGTGTTGCTTTGTGTGTGGAGAGGGGGAAGCTGCAGGGAAGGGCTAGGATGGTCAGAATCTCTTCAGTGCATGCCCCCAGGCCCACAGTGCTGACTCCTGCCAGCCTGAGGACAAACGAGTATTGCATGTTTATTCATGTAGTCCAGAAATAATGCACTGAGCATCTACTCTAACACCCTGTCTACTCTGACCCTGTGCTGGGTGCTGGGGCATCAGATGACAAGAAAGATAAAGCTCTTGCCCTCATAGAGCTTAACTTCCTGGTGGAGGAGATAGATAGATAATAAACAGGTAAACATAATATGTTCGGGTGGAAATATGTGCTAGGGAGAAAACAAAACAGAGATGCAATAGAGAGCCAGGAGGAACCACTTTGGTTTAGGGGTGGTCAGAGAGGGCCTCTCCAGAGATGTCAAAGTGAGCTGAGACTCTGATGGCCAGGAAAAAAAGAAAAAGGCAGGAAAGCATCTGGTGAAGAAGAAACAAGCTCAGCAGGTTTGGGGGCTAGAAAGGAGACCAGAGCGCCGCAGACTCACAGGCAAGGAGAGGCAGGTCAGAGAGGTAGGCAAGGCCAAGTCATGCAGAGTCTTGGAGGCCAAGGGCAAGCGTTTGGGTTTCATGCTTTAAATAACAGAGAGAAATGATTTGATTTCTGTTGTAAAAAGATCACTGTGACAGCTAGGTGGAGAGCAAGGGACTACAGAGGATAAGAGTGAAAGTAGGGTATCCTGGTAAGAGGCTGTGGGTGAAATCCAAATAAGAAATGATGGAGCCTTAGCCTAGAGAGAAGCCTAGAGAGAAGCAAAAGAGATGGGATGTGTATTTGTATAGGCCAGGGCTGTGGAGGTTTTCTCTAGCCATCTCATACCTCTCACCAGCCATTTTGACCTCTCTGGGCATTTTATCAATCCGTTTCCCCATTGTCCAATCTGAGAGCAGTCTCCAGGGAAGGAGAGTCCAGCCTCCTTGGGCTACAGGTTCCACTGCATCACCCGAGAACCACTGTCTTCCTGGAATAATATCAGGAAGTTCTTCTTGGTGTCTACACTTCCTGCTGTGAGCCATTTAGTTTTGAGAGAGGGGCAAAAGTGGGCAAAGACTCCGGGATCAAGGGAGATACTTAGCTGTATAACCATCTGAGAAGGCCCCCTCTGGGGAGGCCAGAATAGGAACTAGAAGTCAGAGTTTGATGTTCAGGTTAGAAGCCATGGATGAGCTGCTGCTGTATTTCAGTTTTCCTGCCTATTCCCAAACCCAGCTCCACCCATCCTAGCACCCTGGGACATCCTGGAGCTCTTCAGATCTCCAACCTTGGGAATCTCTCCCCTCCTTAGTTGCACATTAAAGGGATGAGGAACCTATGTACTCAGCCAGTGTCCTTTGCCTTCTGCAACAGTCCCAGTCACTAGCCTCCTGCTCTTCCACTGTCATCCTTCTTTTTTATTTTATTTATTTATTTTTGAGATGGAGTCTTGCTGTGTCGCCAGGCTGGAGTGCTGTGGTGCGATCTCAGCTCACTGCAACCTCCACCACCCAGGTTCAAGTTATTCTTCTGCCTCAGCCACCGGAGTAGCTGGGATCACAGGCGTGCCACCACGTCCAGCTAATGTTTTTTTTTTTTTTTTTTTTTTTTTTTTGAGATGGAGTCTTGCACTGTCGCCCAGGCTGGGGTGTAGTGGCGCGATCTCAGCTCACTGCAAGCTCCACCTCCCGGGTTCACGCCATTCTCCTGCCTCAGGCATACTGCTGCCTCAGGAGTAGCTGGGACTACAGGCGCCCACCACAATGCCTAGCTAATTTTTTTGGTATTTTTAATAGAGACGGGGTTTTACCGTGTTAGCCAGGATGGTCTCCATCTCCTGACCTCGTGATCCGCCCACCTCGGCCTCCCAAAATGCTGGGATTACAGGCATGAGCCACCACGCCCGGCCTTTATTTTTCATTTTTTTGGACAGAGTCTCACTTTGTCGCCCAGGCTGGAGTGTAGTGTCATGATCTCAGCTCACTGCAACCTCTGCCTCCTGGGTTCAAGCAATTCTCCTGCCTCAGCCTTCCAAGTAGCTGAGATTACAGGCACCCCCCACCACACCTGGCTAATTTTTTTATTTTTTAATTTTATTTTTTATTTTTATTTTTTGAGACGGAGTCTCGCTCTGCCGCCCAGGCTGGAGTGCAGTGGCCGGATCTCAGCTCACTGCACGCTCCACCTCCCGGGTTCACGCCATTCCCCTGCCTCAGCCTCCCGAGTAGCTGGGACTACAGGCGCCTGCCACCGCGCCCGGCTAGTTTTTTGTGTTTTTTAGTAGAGACGGGGTTTCACCGTGTTAGCCAGGATGGTCTCGATCTCCTGACCTCGTGATCCGCCCGTCTCGGCCTCCCAAAGTGCTGGGATTACAGGCTTGAGCCACCGCGCCCGGCCACATTTTTTAATTTTTTTAATAGAGATGGGAGTTTCACCTTGTTGGCCAGGCTGGTCTCAAACTCCTGACCTCAAGTGATCCTCCTGCCTCAGCCTCCCAAAGTGCTGGAATTACAGGCATGAGCCACTGCGCCCAGCCACCCCCCATGTGATTTTATTTATTATTTAATTTTATTTTTCTTTTGAGATGGAGTTTCACTCTTGTTGCCCAGGCTGGAGTGCAGTGGCACAATCTCAGCTCACTGCAACCTCTGCCTCCCAGGTTCAAGCGATTCTTCTGTCTCAGCTACCTGAGTAGCTGGGATTAATAGACACCCGCCACCACGCCCAGCTAATTTTTGTCTTTTTAGTAAAGAGGGGTTTTGCCATTTTGGCCAGGCTGGTCTCGAACTCCTAACCTCAGGTGATCCACCTGCCTCGACCTCCCAAAGTGCTGGGATTACAGGCGTGAGCCACCACGCCCCGTTGCTTCCTATGTGCTTTTAAATCCACAGGATCCCACTGCTTGTAATGTCTGCCCATCCTAGATATGACTGCTGTGAGCTTTAAGGGAGTTTTGTAAACTCTGAGGGGCGAGGCTGTTTCACTTCAGAAAAATGGAGGAAATAAAGACAAAGCATCTAGAAAAAGAAAGACTGGAATCTGCTCAGACAGGTTCTGGGAAAGTCTTCACTTCTGGGTCTTAGTGGAGCCCAGAGCTGGAGGGCACTAGGACCTAGGGTGGAGCAGCCTTTAGTCTCAAGCAAGCTTGTCCAACCCGTGGGCCTGTGGGCCACTTGCAGCCCAGGGTAGCTTTTGAATGTGGCCCAGGCCCAACACAAATTCCTCATGAAATTTGTTAAAACATTATGAGATTTGTTTGAGATCTGTGATTTTTTTTTAAAGTTCATCAGCTATTGTTAGTGTATTTGTGTATTTTATGTGTGGCCCAAGACTATTCTTATAATGTGGACACCCCTGGTCTAAAGGCTGTTGGTCCTTTCTTGGCTGTTGCTAATCTGCAGGGCTGCAATAATGGAGCCTCCCAGGGGACAACTAGGGCCCCGCCCCAAACTCACCTCTCACCTCTCTCTGCAGCTCAGGTACCAGACAGTGATGAGCAGTTTGTTCCTGATTTCCATTCAGAAAACCGTGAGTAGAGGTCCCTGGGGAGAGGGTATATGGAGTGGAGGATGGCAGGAAGTGAGTCATAGGATAATAGAGAATCACAGGTGATCAGCTGGTTCTCTCCTAAAAAACAGTGGGGGTGAAGGTCAGGGCTCCCATTCTGGGATTTGATCTCAAAGACCAAGGCAATAACTGGAATGAAAACCTTGGTTGAAATCTGGGGCTTGCCATGTTCTTGCTGTGTGACCTTAGAGCAGACACTATCCCTCTGGTTCTCCATTGCCTTTTATCTGAAGTGAGGGGCCTGGGCCAGTTCAGCAGAGTCCAGTTCTAGTGTTTGTTTTTTTTTTTCTCCCCCGAGACAGAGTCTTGCTCTGTCGCCTAGGCTGGAGTGTAGTGGCACGATCTCGGCTCACTGCAACCTCTGCCTCCCAGGTTTAAGCTATTCTCCTGCCTCAGCCTCTGGAGTAGCTGGGATTATAGGCACCCACCACCACAGCCAGCTAATTTTTGTACTTTTAGAAGAGACAGGGTTTCACCATGTTGGCCAGGCTGGTCTCCAACTCCTGACCTTGTCATCCGCCCACCTCGGCCTCCCAAACTGCTGGGATTACAGGCATGAGCCACCGTGCCCGGCCCCAGTTCTAGTGTTCTAAGTCACTTTCATAAACTGGGGACAATTTTGCCCCCCAAGAGACATTTAGTAATATCTGTAGACATTTTTGGTTGTCACGATTGAGGGTGGGGTGCTACTGGTGTCTAGTGGATAGAGAGGTCAGGGATACTGCTAAAAGCATCCTATGATGCTCAGGACAGCTCCTTACAATATATTAATAAAACACTATCTGGCCCACATGTCAGTAGTGCCACTGTTGAGAAACCCTGCTTTAGGCTGGGTGTGGGTGGCTCACACCTGTAATCCCAGCACTTTGGGAGGCTGAGGCGGGTGGATCACATGAGGTCAGGAGTTTGAGACCAACCTGGCCAACATGATGAAATTCCGTCTTTACTAAAATACAAAAGTTAGCCGGGCATCGTGGTGTGTACCTGTAATCCCAGCTACTCAGGAGGCTGAGGCACAAGAATCGCTTGAACCTGGGAGGCGGAGGTTGCAGTGAGGCAAGATTGAGCCACTGCACTCCAGCCTGGGCGACAGAGCGAGGCTCCATCTCAAAAAAACAAAAATCAGAAAACAAAGAAACCCTGCTTTAATGTCAGATACTTTGCTGTCAACTGTCTTCACCTGTGAAACAGAACGGGCACAAAGAATCAAAAACACCTGAGAATAGTTGGTTATAAGCAGGGCATTTGAGTGGACTGCAGGTAAAACTGAATCTCACTCACACTGACTTGGAACCAACTCTTTGCTGCTCAGCTGCGTGGCCAGAGTTTGGGAACCCAGCAGGGGCCACAGGAAAGGCCAATGTTCTTCACAGATAAGTAGGAACATGTGTATAATGTTAGTCAGCTGACATTCAAGTGGGCCAATATCCAACCTCAACGAGAAAAAGTTTTTTTAAATCAATTAATTTTTTTTTGAGACGGAGTTTTGCTCTTGTTGCCTAGGCTGGAGTGCAATGGCGCGGTCTCGGCTCACTGCAACCTCCGCCTCCTAGGTTGAAGCGATCCTTCTGCCTCAGCCTCCCGAGTAGCTGGGATTATAGGGATGCGCCACCATGCTCGGCTAATTTTTTTGTATTTTAGTAGAGGGAAAAACCAACATAGTTTTTCTATGTTGGTCAGGCTGGTCTGCAACTTCTGACGTCAGATGATCAACCCGCCTTGGCCTCCCAAAGTGCTGGGATTACAGGCGTGAGCCACCGCACCCGGCCAAGAAAGATTCTTTATATCCTCAAATAAGAAAACATGTCGCTCCCTTGGAATTTTCCAGGGCACTTAGGAAAATGACAGGCCCTAGGTTGGAGGTGCTCACTCCTTGAAAGTGTTTTCTGGGGCCTGGGGTTGCATTAAAGGTTTTTTTTTTTTGCTTTTGAGATGGAGTCTCGCTCTGTCACCCAGGCTGGAGTGCAGTGACATGATCTTGGCTTGCTGCAATCTCCGCCTCCCGGGTTCAAGCAATTTTCTTGCCTCAGCCTCCGGAGTAGCTGGGACTACAGGCACCCACCACCATGCCCGGCTAATTTTTTTTTTTTTTTTGGTATTTTTAGTAGAGACGGGGTTTCACCATGTTGGCCAGGCTGGTCTTGGACTCCTGCCTCCCAATGTGCTGGGATTACAGGCGTGAGCCACCGTGCCCAGCCTAAATGTTGAACTTTAGATGGTTTCTTTGGTTAATAATCAGACACTACTCTGATGTATAAACTAGACATAATGTAAATAGCCAAAATGTTCTTGTCTCACTGCGGATCTCAGAAAATTGATACCCAGAGAGGGAAGGAGGCTGTACCAGTCACCCAGCTAGTCTTCAAAGTGCAGAAGGTATCAGAAGCCCTGCCTGCCGCTTGTGTGACAGGCTCTGGCCTTGCTCTGCCCCCTCTACTATCCCCACAGTAGCTTTCCACAGCCCCACCACCAGGATCAAGAAGGAGCCCCAGAGTCCCCGCACAGACCCGGCCCTGTCCTGCAGCAGGAAGCCGCCACTCCCCTATCACCATGGCGAGCAGTGCCTTTACTCCAGGTGAGCCCCAGCCCGGACCTGGTGAAGGGTAGGGGAAGGGTTCCTGAGGAGGGAGGCAGGGGGCACCCATCAGCAGAGGTAGCAGCTGAGATGCAAGTTAGACAACAGAAAGGATTTTCTAGCTCCTGTAAGGAAGCGATACAGCTAAGGATTTCCTCTAAATAGACGGAAAATGCAGCAGAGGGCCTCAGGAATACATACTGAGGCCAGAGCAGATTCTGTTTCCACCAAGAGGCCCACTGTCCCACCTAAACCATTGCTCTGAGCAACGAATCCCCCCTGTATGAATCCCAGGGGTTCAAGACCAGCCTGGGCAACAGAGGGAGACTGTCTCTGAAAAAAGAAAAGAATTGGCTAGGGCTGAGTCTGTGGCTCCTGCTGTTTCTTTCTCAGCCCCCTCTATCCTTCCTTCTCCCGTAATCCCTGTGACCTCACTTTCCTTGGAATGAAGGGTTCAAAGATGCTTGCCAGCTTCTCTGCCCCCTCACCCCTGTTTCCTTCTCAACTCCAGTGCCTATGACCCCCCCAGACAACTCGCCATCAAGTCCCCTGCCCCTGGTGCCCTTGGACAGTCGCCCCTGCAGCCCTTTCCCCGGGCGGAGCAACGGAATTTCCTGAGATCCTCTGGCACCTCCCAACCCCACCCTGGCCATGGGTACCTTGGGGAACGTAGGTAAGGAGACAGGGAAGCGCACTGCTCATGGGCCCAGGTGTTTTTTCTTTAATTCCCGAGTGTTCTCCTTAAAGACTTGAGCTGTGGGGTTGTGCAGGCGGGGGGCGGCGGAATAGAGAGGGAGAGATACTGATGCCCCAACCCCCTACCCCCAATTCCAGAGCCCACTTTAAAAGCCTAGGAGTAACAGGCTCGAGGAGGGATTAATTTAAAGTTCTCTTCTCTTCCTTCTCCAACCACATCCAGCTCCGTCTTCCAGCAGCCCCTGGACATTTGCCACTCCTTCACATCTCAGGGAGGGGGCCGGGAACCCCTTCCAGCCCCCTACCAACACCAGCTGTCGGAGCCCTGCCCACCCTACCCCCAGCAGAGCTTTAAGCAAGAATACCATGACCCCCTGTATGAACAGGCGGGCCAGCCAGCTGTGGACCAGGGTGGGGTCAACGGGCACAGGTACCCAGGGGCGGGGGTGGTGATCAAACAGGAACAGACGGACTTCGCCTACGACTCAGGTAAGAGACTAGGGTGGGGCAGGGTGGCATGTGATCAAGTGAAGAATTCAGTTAAGCCCAGAATGTCTCCCCAGTTTTTTACATTGCTGTTTACCATTTCATACATCCAACCCACCCACCCACTTTTTTTCTTGACAATTTCAAAAGAACTGTTATTTTTCTTTCTTTTTTTTTTTTTTTTAGACGGGGTCCTGCTCTGTGGCCCAGGCTAGAGTGCAGTGGCACGATTTCTGCTCACTGCAACCTCCACCTCCCGGGTTCAAGCGATTCTCGTGCCTCAGCCTCCCAAGTACCTGGGATTACGGGCACCAGCCACCAGGCCCAGCTAATTTTTGTATTTTTAGTAGAGACGGGGTTTCGCCATGTTGGCCAGAATGGTCTCGAACTCCCGACTTCATGTGATCCATCCGCCTCAGCCTCCCAAAGTGCTGTAATTATAGGCATGAGCCACCTCACCAGGACAAATTGTTACTTTTCAATGAGCAAACCTATATTCAGATTAAAAGATAAGGCCCCCACCCCCACCCCGGGACATGGTGAGTCATCTGTAATTCCAGTACTTTAGGAGGCCATGGTGGGAGGATCGCTTGAGCCCAGGAATTAGTTCAAGGCCAGCCTGGGCAACAAAGTGAGACCCCGTGTCTATTTATAAAAAAGTAAAATAAAACTAAAATAAAGGGGGATGTAGAGCCTTCCCTCAGGTAGCTTGTGACTTAATAGGAAAGTTAAGGCATTTATTTCTATTTAACAGGTGTTTGAGGTTTTAATTACCTATTAAGACCAAACTACTGTGACAGGAACATGAGTGTGCAGAGTTGGGAAATACAAAGATGAATAGGATGTGTCTGGTCCCTATCCCCATAGAGGCTTAAAAATACAAAGGGATTTGAATGAAGAGAAACATGAATTTGAAACTAGCCAGGCTCGTGGTTCTTGCTAGTTCTCAATAGGAGCGCAGGGTTTTTTGTTGTTGTGTTGTTTTGTTTTGTTTGTTTTGAGACGGAGTCTTGCTCTGTTTATTTTGAGACGGAGTCCTGCTCTGTCGCCCAGGCTGGAGTGCCACTGGATTCAAGTGATTCTCATGCCTCAGCCTCCCTAGTAGCTGGGGTTACAGGCACCCACCACCACGCCCAGCTAATTTTTGTATTTTTAGTAGAGATGGGGTTTCACCATGTTGGTCAGGCTGGTAGGAGCACAGGTTAATACGTGGTTTACACATCCTATTTGAGCCTCCCAGTTGATGTTTGCCCAGGCCAGAGGCTGGGCACTGGAAGTAGGAACTTCTTTAAATTCTAGTTCCACCTGGCTGTTGACTGGAGTGAGATGCATTCAGCTATGTTCATAAATAGCTATAGTTCAAAGCCCCAAGAGCCGAAGGAGGGCCAGTCCCAGGAAGGGTCCAGAAAACCCTGCCTTTTTTCCTTTCCTCCTAGCTTTTGTTACATTACTAGCCCCAGAGTTTATTAGAGTAGGCCCAGAGCTAGCTAGAATGTTAGAATTTCCCTTTTTGTGGTGCCCACAACCGTTCAGGGGCAGGGGGATGAACCACAAACCCCCAGGCTGTCCAACTGAGAACCGGATGGTGCTCCTGTCCTCAAATCCAGGGCATAAGCCTGAGCCAGGCTTGGCAGTGAGCTGGGGAGAGGAAGAGGGAGGCATTCTTTGCTGCTGACCTTCAAAGGCTGTAGACCGGAGGGGATTGTGTTACATGCCCTTGAACTCCTGCCCCTCCCCCCAGCTACTCCTGAATGGAGTCAGGAATTCCATTCACAAAATGGAGGCATGAATGAGCCCACCCTCCCGCCCTCTCCCGGAGGTGTCATGTTTCACCATCTTCTCATTCATAGGTGGGAGTGGAGTGGGGGGAGGGCGGGAAGGGGTTGGAACTTGAACGGGTGGCTTCACACAGCCACCTCCCCGATGTGGAGTGGGGAGGTTCCTATCCTATGGAATGGAATGAAATGAAGTGGAATGTGCTCTGTTAGACCTGAAAAAACAAGGCCCAGTGCCCACTGCCTCTTTGCCAGGCTCATGCAGGCGCATGCTCTCAGTTTCTGTCCCATAGACACACACACACACACACACACCCCGCCCCGCGCACACACACACACACCCCGCCCCGCCCCCCCAGGCTGGGAACCTGACCTGCTGACCGGCCATTTGTCCATTCTGAGGGAGTCTTAGGCGTGGACACCGAACCCTTTCCCCGGACGTTCATCTCACCCTCCCTCCTCCCCCTGAACGCGCAGGAAACAGCTGCTCCCTGGCAGCTTGGGCCCTGTCGAACAGCTTGCCCGGCCCCCGCTGCTGCCTTCCACGGCCTCTGCCCCAGCCCTCAAGTTGAGGAGGGGTTCCAGTGTCACACTCCCTCTAGGTGAACTTTCCCTGGGATTTTGTGGTTGGCAGGCAACTTGGGCAAAGAACAGGAAGCAGGCTGGAAGGAAGAACTTCATGAATGTGGATAGGACTTCCTCCTCTCCTGCTCTCTAGCTCCACCCCAAGCCACCTCACATCACCCTTTCTTCCCCCACAGATGTCACTGGGTGCGCATCAATGTACCTCCACACAGAGGGCTTCTCTGGGCCCTCTCCAGGTGACGGGGCCATGGGTAAGGCAGCCCCCCTTCCCCTGCCAAGCCCTCCATGTTGGGGGAGGGAGCACTACCATTGGGGAGGGTCTCCCTGGCCAGGAGTCCCTCTGGACTCTCTGGGGTCTCGTCGGTGAACCCCTAGATCTGAGCAACCCCCAACTTCCTCTACAAGGCTATGGCTATGAGAAACCTCTGCGACCATTCCCAGATGATGTCTGCGTTGTCCCTGAGAAGTTTGAAGGTCAGAGAAGTGACTGTTCATGGGAGGGTCAAGGTCTTATCATGCTGTGTCCCTGCAGGAGTCACATCACATTTCATTGTTGCAAGAGGGTGGGACCCATAGAAAAATACCTGGGAAGACCCCTTGGAGAAATCCCTGGGATGGGAGGCGGTTGCTTGGGGGACCAAAAGACACAAACCCCACACCTCCTATTTTCGTGTTCCCCAGGAGACATCAAGCAGGAAGGGGTCAATGCATTTCGAGAGGGGCCACCCTACCAGCGCCGGGGTGCCCTACAGCTGTGGCAATTTCTGGTGGCCCTGCTGGATGACCCAACAAATGCCCATTTCATTGCCTGGACAGGCCGGGGAATGGAGTTCAAGCTCATTGAGCCTGAGGAGGTGGGCCTCTTGGATGTCCCCAGCCCTCCTTTCCAAAGTTTAGGGCCTGGAGGTGGGAGAACCTGGGAAATGGTGGCACGTGCCTCCACCATGATCCTTGCTTTACCTAACCGGAATTCTTGCCAAGGATAAGTTTGTGGGCTGATGCTTTGTTGCAGGGCTAGCTTAGCACTTTGCACCCAGAATCTCAAGTGCTCTTTCTGACCTTACCCCATTTTTTCCTCTGCTGAGGTAGCATCTCTACCCCAAAACTGTTTTGTCCCCAGGTCGCCAGGCTCTGGGGCATCCAGAAGAACCGGCCAGCCATGAATTACGACAAGTTGAGCCGCTCGCTCCGATACTATTACGAGAAAGGCATCATGCAGAAGGTGGGGGCTGTGGGTCTAGGGACAAGGTGGTGGAGGGCAGTGGCCATGAAGTTGATGGGGGGAGAGGGTCAGCGGAGCAGTTCTCAGCAACTTTGTAGGATCAGATAATCAGTCAGAGGGACAAGAAATTGTCAAGGTTCTCCTCTCCCAAAAAAGTGCAACTCAGAAGCCCAAGCATGGAGAAGTTGAGATGAAAAAGGGATAAGAACTGTGAAGGGAGAGTCAGCTTCTCAGGAGAACCAGCATAGGAGAAAATGCCCCGAGCATCTGCCTGGACTGGTAGAAGGGCCGCATTCCCTGCTCCCCTACCTTACCCCATACAAAGGCTGGGGGGCTAGCCAGGCTGACCAGCCCTTCTCTCTCCCCATAGGTGGCTGGTGAGCGTTACGTGTACAAGTTTGTGTGCGAGCCCGAGGCCCTCTTCTCTTTGGCCTTCCCGGACAATCAGCGTCCAGCTCTCAAGGCCGAGTTTGACCGGCCTGTCAGTGAGGAGGACACAGTCCCTTTGTCTCACTTGGACGAGAGCCCCGCCTACCTCCCAGAGCTGGCTGGCCCTGCCCAGCCGTTTGGCCCCAAGGGTGGCTACTCTTACTAGCCCCCAGCGGCTGTTCCCCCTGCCGCAGGTGGGTGCTGCCCTGTGTACATACAGATGAATTTGGTGTTGGGGAAACCTTCATCTGAAACCCACAGATGTCTCTGGGTCAGATCTCCACTGTCCTACCAGTTGTCCTAGCCCAGACTCTGAGCTGCTCACCAGAGTCATTGGGAAGGAAAAGTGGAGAAATGGCAAGTCTAAAGGTAGAGTCTCAGAAACTCCCCTGGGGGTTTCACCTGGGCCCTAGAGGAATTCAGCTCATCTTCTTCCTAGGTCCAAGCTCCCCACACCTTTTCCCCAACCACAGAGAACAAGAGTTCTCTTCTGGGGGACAGAGAAGGCGCTTCCCAACTTTACACTGGCAGGAGGGTGAGGAGGTTCACTGAGCTCCCCAGATCTCCCACTGCGGGGAGACAGAAGCCTGGACTCTGCCCCACGCTATGGCCCTGGAGTGTCCCGGCTTGTCAGTTCTTGGTGCTTTGTGTTCCCAGAAGCAGGGGGAGGTTGAAGAAAGGAACCTGGGATGGGGGGTGCTGGGTAGAAGCAGAGAGGGATGGGTTCCTGCTCCAAGGGACCCTTTGCCTTTCTTCTGCCCTTTCCTAGGCTCAGGCCTGGGTTTCCACTTCCACCTCCACCACATCTGTCAGACCTTAATAAAGGCCCCCACTTCTCCCATTAGTTCTCCTGTGTCCTCTTTGCTGCCATGTGGGAACAGACCTGGGGGTAGAAAGAGCTCTGGCCTTGAAGCAGAGCTGACTGGTTTGGGGCCAGGCCCTGACACTTAAATCCCCATGTGGATTTGAAAAAAGGCAGTTCACCTGACTATTTCTCTTCTGAAAAATGGGCTTAATGATACCTGCCCTTCCCCTCTCCCAGCATTACTGTGTGAGGATCCAGAAATAATGGACAGGGGGTACTTGATAACCTGGATAGGTACCCCCTTGTGCACTTTGGGCCTGCTTCCGGCAGCAGTCTCCCTGCCCCTGCGGGTGGGGCAGGTGGGCTACTGAGTTGCAAGGCTCTCCCTCCTGGGACCTCCTCAGACAGGGTTTTGGTCTTTGGTTTCTGTGATCCTAATTGTTCCCATGACCCTGCTGCCCCACATAGACCCCAATTGCATGTCCTCCATCCTACTTCAGCTCTAGGTTGCTACTTTTGCTGGGGTTGGGGACAAGTGTTTGTCTGGAGAATGGGGCAAAGGAGAAAGGCTCCCAGGCCAGATGGTACAGAGAGAGGCTAGAGCAGGCCCTGGATTCTGGCCAGTGGAGATTAGATCTTCGGGGGAGTGGGAAACACCTAGATTCTCCTTGCCCAAATTTGGGAGAGATCAGAGTCCTGAGGCTGACTTTTTTGGGGGTAGGTAGAAATGGCAAAGCGGACGACATGGTGACACCTATGAAGGAAGTATAACTGAGTAGATATGACAAGAGGTGGGAGGGGCAGAATGAGTGGTTCTAGAGCCAGCTCCTATGTAAACCGCTGCCCAGGAGACTCGTTCAGGTAAAAACAGGTGCTCTCCTGTTAAATAGAAACTGCAGCTGTGCTGAGATTGGGCCAGCCCAACTCTGTTCATGCCTGAACTGCCAGCAGCCTTGGCCTAGCACCAACCTGAGATGATCCATTGCAGGAAGGGATGCCCCTTGACCACTACCCACAAATAAAAGGCAACATTACTTCTTCCTAGAAACACAAAACATCAATGTACTGACACAACTTAGTGCAAGAAACAAATTTTTTTAAATCAAGTTTTAAAAATATATAATTTAATTCCACATTAAAGCCAAGCTATCTTGGTGGGAAGGTATAAAAGTCAGGTGGAAACCCAGAGGGCCAAGTACACACATGAAGAGAGATTGATTTAGCTGAGAAGCAGCATCCAGGGAAAGAAAGGCCTCCACAAGCTGAGATGATTGCTCTCTGCCCTCTGAACTGTTCATTAACAAGTCACCAGTCCCAGTTCTTTGTTCAAATCCTCAAACTTGGAGAGACACTGCTCCAATGAGACAGCTACAGCAACCACGGGAAGTGCTTTGGGCTGCAGGAGAGACAGTCAAAGCCAAATCACGTCCAGGCGGGATGAAGTAAACCTGGACGAGAAGCCTGACCCAGCAGCGGAGCTCACACATGCCCCATAGGGACGGTCCTCCCATATACACAACAGCACGCTCAGCACGTGTGCAGAGGCAGGCAACTCCTGAGCTTGGTTCCCGCTGGGTCGGGGTGAATAATGCACTTTAATGGCCAAGAAGATCCCAGGTCTCTGCATAGACCCATATCCTCTCCTGGGCTGTCACTCAATCTTGGGAAATACTGGTTCAAGGAAGAGAAACAAAGACTGCATTGTGTGAGAGCAGCAGGCAAGCTCCCCTTCTGCATCTGGACAGGACCCCACCCCCTCCCTCAGATCAGGCTCAGCTCAGCTGCCGCCATTGCTCTCCTGATGGTCAAAAGGTCAGAACCCAGCTATGTTGTCATAGCAGAGAAGTGACCTCAGCTCTAGGGTAGAGATGGTCAAGGAACACCCACAGAATGGGGATCCTTTTTCCTCACCTGAGCCAGAAAGATAACCAACCCTGCTGTCCCTTATCCTTGGCCCATTCAACATCCCTTTTCAACCTCAGCTTAAAACCCAAACCTCCCTCCCCAGGTGCCAACATTGTCAGTGCTGGGCACTTAGTCAGGACAGGCTAGGCCACCATATCCAGGAGTGTTTCTGAATGGGGAAAATTTAGGCTGGAATTAGGACTGGGAGATAAGTGTGGTGGCATGCACCTGTAGTCCCAGCTACTCAGGAAGATGAGGCAGGAAGATGACTTGAGCCTAGGAGTTTGATGCCAGCCTGGGCGACATGGCAAGACCCTGTCTCAACAAAAACAAAAACAAAACAACATTGGGGAGGTGGGTGCCCAGTCCCCGTTTCCCCTTTGGTTTCATTTGAAGTTCCTGCACTGTCTCTCCCCAGAAGGCCTTCAAGGTTAACAAACAACAATGCCCTGCCCCTTGATTGTTGGCCTGGATTTACGAAGGCGCATACTCAAGACAGAATCAGGAGGCACTCACTCAGCTTAATGAAGGGGCAGGGATCTGCAGTCAGCAGATTGCCTGGCCTATATTCCTCTCCCTGGACTTTTTCTGAATTGTGTCTTTAGGGTGTGGTTTGCTGCCCAGTGACAACATACATTCCTTTATATCCTGGAATGTTGTATAGTCTCTTTTAGTGTCTGGCATACAGTTCTATAGTAGTTCTAGCATTTACATCACTTCAGAACTTACTAATAACATAAGGATGGGAGAAGCAGCACCATAACGGATGTGCCCAATCTCCCAGAGGCTTCTCTACAAGCACTACATCCAGACCAGCTTTCCACAAGTTCTGCAACCTGGCCTGGCAAGACCTGCCTGATGTTCCTCCAGGTAAGGAGCCTCCTCAGTGCCAAGGACAGTGGCTCTCGACTGTAATCCCAGCGCTTTGGGAGGCAGAGGCAGGAGGATTGCTTGAGGCCAGGAATTGGAGAGCAGCCTGGGCAGCATAGTGGGAACCCATCTCTATGGCAAGCAAAAAAAAAAAAAAGCCTCCTCAGGAGCTGTGAGGGGAGTACAAGGAGGTGGCCATTCCCCAACCAAGTGCTAGGAAAAAACCACTAAGAACCAACCCTGGAGCACAGATACTGGGCAGCACAAGCCAGCCGAGAGGAGAGGTGTTATGTTTGTTTTCTGTTTGGGGTGGGGAAAGGGAGGCTTTGACCATAAAATCCCTTTGTTGAAGTCCATCCAGGACCTCAGGGGAGAAAAATAAAAACAAAATAAAATAAAAGCTGTGTTGTTACTTAGTATGTTTCAAAAGCAAATGGGACATGCTGCACATTGTGAATGTGGTAGGAAGTGGAGGGAGCAAGGGGAAACCTTCTGCATTTAATATGTGCCATCTGTAACCACTCAGGACTCCAGACTGAAGTGCTCTGTGGAGAGGACATGGTTAATCATGGGGCGATCCCCCAGCATGGCCCGGCCAGTGCTGATGCAGAAAGACAAGGCTGGAGGTCTGGGCTGTATGTTCTGGGCGCAAAGAGGCCCTGTGCTCTGGTTTTAGGGGATTCAGGGGACTCTCATCGTGTGCACCAGAGCACAGATACTAAATCTCCCTCACCCTGAGCCCAGGCCAATATCCTAACCTTTCAGCTAAAAGGAACAGTCACAGAAAACCATTTTTGTTTCCTTAAGAAAATAAATATTTCCAGGAGGTCAAGCCAAAGTACAGGGGCTGGAGAGGGGGTGGGAAGTGGGGCAAACACTTTAGATGAGCACAGTAGCTCCTGTTAGCTGGGGCATCAGGGCCCTCACCGTGTCCCTGCACAAGATGCTCACCCACTCCCCTTTCCCATCCTGGGGCTACACAAATTGTCCCTTTCTTGAAGTTGATGCAATGTGTTTCTGTGTTAGATATGAGCTCCCAACTGGCCCCAAGGACTTGGGGTGATGGGGGCTGGAGGCTCTTGTGAAAGCCAGGCTTAAATCCCTGTTTCTATTTTACCAGCAGGGAAGAAATGAGTCAAGTTGAGAAAATGCTCAGTTAAGACAGTCAGTCACAGGACAGTTGTATCCTCAGGACCAGCCTGTCATCAGTGAGAATAAGTCCAAGCCCCGGGTTACTGCTGATGGAGAGGCAAATGAACAAGCTCGCCTTTCAGCGCCGTCGGAAGGCCCGGGATATTCTCCAGGCGTTGGGTTCCTCATAGCGGTTGTACAAGGGTTCAAGACGCTGTTGCTTCTTCTGTTTGCTTAGCTTAGTTGGGTCTGAGACCTTGAAGAAGGCTGGAGCAAACTCCACAAGCCACCGAGGGTCGATGGTGGTAACTTCACGCATGTATTCCTTGGTGGTCAGCACCAGCTCATGGTACACCACCCTGAAGAGGGACAGAGATAGGACTCAAGCCTCTGGATATAGGCCCCACTCTACAGTCGACCTGGTCCCTAGTAGGCCTCAGCAGCGCTTACATTTTATCCTCTTACCTCTCCTGTCTGACCCCTACAAGACTGCAGTCTGTTTATGACAGCCACACCCCAATACTGAAGCACCTGCACACCTCTAACCACAAGAAAGGTCTCAGGCGAATGTGTTCTAGTCCTGGCTCTGGCTCTTAACCAGTTAAGTGACATGCAGCCAATCACATCCCTTCTCTAATCTGTTTCTTGCTCTATAAAATGTGAGGGTGGTTTATTAGAATGTTTCCACAGAATTCTAGGGCTCTGAAGAGGGGCCTCACACTGCCACAAGGGATGGAGAAGGCCAAACATGCAAGGAGCCACATTTCTAACCCTTCTACTGTGATAACATGGTGGTTTTAAATCAGTTTTATATTAGGGTTCTAGATAGAGTCCAATTTTTAAAAAATGCTACTTTAAAACAATTTTTTTTTAAAAACTACATCACTAGGTAGTTGTTTCTTTTTTCTTTTTTTTTTTTTTTTGAGATGGAATCTCGTTCTGTCTCCTAGGCTGGAGTGCAATGGCGCGATCTCGGCTCACTGCAACCTCCGCCTCCTGGGTTCAAGCTATTCTCATGTCTCAGCCTCCCAAGTAGCTGGGATTACAGGTGCCTTCCACCATGCCTGGCTAATTTTTGTATTTTTAGTAGAGACAGGGTTTCACTATGTTGGTCAGGTTGGCCTGGAACTCCT